TCAACATTTCCTTGGTGATTCGGGGTCTTTTCTGATTCCATACAAATTTTAGGATTGTTTGTTCCAGCACTTTGAAACATGTCATTGGAATTTTGATCAGGATGGCGTTGAAGGTATAGATTGCTCTGGGTAACATAGACATTTTAACAATGTTTATTATTCCAATCCATGAGCATGGAATGTTTTTCCATCTTTTTGTTTCTTCTTCAATTTCTTTCATGAGTGCTCTATAGTTCCTAGAGTATAGATCCCTTTACCTCTTTGGTTAGGTTTATTCCAAGGTATCTTACGGTTTTTCGTGCTATTGTAAATGGAATCGATTATCTAATTTCTCTTTCTATAGTTGCATTGTTAGTGTATAAGAAAGCAACTGATTTCTGTGCATTGATTTTTGTATCCTTCCACATTACTGAATTGCTGTATGAGTTCTAATAATTTGGGGATGGAGTCTTTTGGATTTTCCACATAAAGTTTCATGCCATCTGCGAAGAGAGAGAGTTTGACTTCTTCTCTGCCAATTTGAATACCTTTTATTTCTTTTTGTTGTCTGATTTCTGTTTCCAGGACTTCTAGTACTGTGTTGAACAATAGTGGCAAGAGAGGGCATCCTTGTCGTGTTCCTGATCTTAAGGGAAAGGCTCTCAGCTTTTCCCCATTGAAGATGATATTTGCTGTGGGTTTTTCATAGATGGATTTTATGAAATTGAGGAATGTTCCCTCTATCCCTATACTCTGAAGAGTTTTAATCAGGAAAGGATGCTGTATTTTGTCAAATGCTTTTTCTCCATCAATTGAGAAGACCATATGTTTCTTCTCCCTCCTCTTATTAATGTGTTCTATCATATTGATTAATTTGTGAATGTTGAACCACCCTTGCATCCCGGGGATAAATCCCACTTGGTCGTGGTGGATGATCCTTTTAATGAATTGTTGGATACTATTAGCTGGGATTTTGTTGAGAATTTTGGAATCCATATTGATCAGGGATATCGGTCTGAAATTCTCCTTTTTGATGGGGTCTTTGCATGGTTTGGGGATTAAGGTAATACTGGCCTCAAAGAATGAGTATGGAAGGTTTTCTTCTGTTTCTATTTTTTGAAACAGCTTCAGGAGAATAGGTATTATTTCTTCTTTGAATGTTTGGTAATTCCCCAGGGAATCCATCAGGCCCTGGTCTCTTGTTTTTTGGGAGGATTTTGATTACCGCTTCAATCTCGTTACTGGTTATTGGCCTATTCAGGTTGTCAATTTCTTCCTGTTTCAGTCTTGGTAGTTTATAGGTTTCCAGGAAGGCATCCATTTCTTCCACGTTGCTCAATTTATTGGCATATAGTTGTTGATAATAATTTCTTTTTTTTTTTAAAGATTTTATTTATTTATTTGAGAGAGAGAGAATGAGAGACAGAGAGCACCAGAGGGAAAAGGGTCAGAGGGAGAAGCAGACTCCCCGCTGAGTGGGGAGCCTGATGCGAGACTCGATCCTGGGACTCCAGGATCATGACCTGAGCCGAAGGCAGTCGCTTAACCAACTGAGCCACCCAGGCACCCTGTTGATAATAATTTCTAATAATTGTTTCTATTTCTTTGGTGTTAGTTGTGATCTCACCCTTTTCATTCATAATTTTATTAATTTTGGGTCCTTTCTCTTTTCTTTTGGATAAGTCTGGCCAGTGGTTTATCGATCTTATTAATTCCTTCAAAGAATCAGCTTCTAGTTTTGTTGATCTGATCTACTGTGTTTCTGGATTCTAATTCATTGATGTCTGCTCTAATCTTAATTATTTCTCTTCTAATGCGTGGCTTAGGCATCGTTTGTTGCTTTTCCTCCAGTTCTTTAAGGTGTAAAGTTAGTTGGTAAGTTCGGGATTTTTCTATTTTTTTGAGTGAGGCTTGGATGGCTATGTATTTCCCCCTTAGGACCGCCTTTGCAGTATCCCATAGGTTTTGGACCAGTGTGTTTTCATTATCATTGGTTTCCATGAATTAAGTTCTTCTTTGATTTCCTAGTTGACCCAAACATTCTTGAGCAGAGTGGTCTTTAGCTTCCAAGTGTTTGAATTTCTTCCAAATTTTTTCTTGTGATTGAGTTCCAGTTTTAAAGCATTATGGTCTGAGAATATGCGGGGAATAATCTCAATCTTTCGGTATTGGTTGAGACCTGATTTTTCACCCAGTATGTGGTCTATTCTGGAGAAAGTTCCATGTGCACTCGAGAAGAATGAGTATTCTGTTGTTTTAGGGTGGAATGTTCTGTATATATCTATGAGGTCCATCTGGTCCAGTGTGTCATTCAAAGCTCTTGTTTCTTTGTTGATTTTCTGTTTAGATGATCTGCCTATTGCTGAGAGTGGAGTATTGAGGTCTCCTACAATTAACTTATTATTATCAATATGACTCTTTATTTTGGTTAACAGTTTGCTTATATAGTTGGCTGCTCCCATGTTGGGGGCATAGATATTTACAATTGTTAGATCTTCTTATTGGATAGACCCTGTAAGAATGTTATAGTGTCCTTCTGTGTCTCTAACTACAGTCTTTAGCTTAAAATCTAATTTGTCTGATATAAGAATTGCTACCCCAGCTTTCTTCTGAGGTCTGTTGGCATGGAAGATGGATCTCCATCCTTTCACTTTCAGTCTGGATGTATCTTTAGGTTCAAAATGAGTCTCTTAATAGACAGCATTTGGATGGGTCAGTCTTTTTATCCAATCTGCAACCCTGTGCCATTTTATGGGAGCATTTAGGCCATTCATGTTGAGAATGATTATTGAAAGATATGGATTTATTGTCATCATGTTGCCTGTGAAGTCCTTTTCTCTATAGATTGTCTCTGTAAATTTCTGTTCTCTATCACTCTTGGGGTCTTTCTCCTTTTATACAACCCCCCTTATTATTTCTTGCAGGGCCAGCTTAGTGGTCACATATTCTTTCAGTTTCTGCTGGTCTTGGAAGCTCTGCAATTCTCCATCCATTCTAAATGACAGCCTTGCCAGATAAAGTATTCTTGGCTGCATGTTCTTCTCATTTAGCACCCTGAATATGTCTTGCCAGCCCTTTCTGGCTTGCCAGGTATCTGTGGATAGGTCTGATGTTATTCTGATGTTCCTCCCTCTGTACGTAAGTAATCTCTAACCCCCTAACTGCCCTTCAGATGGTTTTAAGATTTGCGAGTTTTACTATTACATGTTGGGGCGTTGTTCTGTTTTCCTTGATCTTGGGAGGGGTCCTCTCTGCCTCTAGGACGTGAATGTTTGTCTCATTCCCCAGATTAGGGAAGTTCTCAGCTACGATTTGCTCAAATATATCTTCTAGTCCTCTCTCCACCCCCTCAGGGATCCCAATAATTTGACATTGGAAAGTTCCATGGTGTCACTTATTTCTCTAATTCTGTTTTCATGGATTTTGAGGTGTTTCTCCCAGGCCTCCTCTTTTTCCTTCTTTTCTATCAATTGGTCTTCTAGATCACTAATTCAATCTTCTGCCTCGTTTATCCTAGCTGTTAGAGTATCTAGATTAGATTGGATCTTATTGATAGCATTTTTAAGTTCTGCCAGTTCAGCTTTCATTTCTGCCCTTAGAGACTCTACGTTGCCATTAATCAATTTCTCCATTCTAGCTATTGTCTTCAAAACTGCTACCCTGAAGTCCATTTCCGACATCTTGGTTATCTATCTCTGTATCCATTTGTAAATCTGTGGCAGAAGTCACAGTCTCTGAGTTTTGACTATTTTGGGGGTTTCTCATCCTAGTCATTCTGTTGAGGGGTGGTTGAGGGAATGTACAGAATCCAAATTATTGACCACAACCCAAGCAAGATGCACCTGTTTTATAGGGACCTTAGGGTTGCCGGCCTCTTGTTCTCCCAGCCTGTCTTCTGAGGGAGGGGTCTGCAGCGCTGTTACTCAGGCAACCCTGTTTGGGCAGAGTTGCCTTGCCCCGTGTGTGTGGGGGGGATGGGCTCAGTGAAAACCGGTTTTGGGGGGCTTTTGTTCTCTGGCGGCTTTCCCTGGTGGCTTTCCATGTCTCTTCCAAGAGTCAGAGCAAAAGAGACTGTTTCCAACCCTCTGCCTCAGAGCAGAGAGATCACAGTCTGTTCTTCAGTGAGCTCTCCAGGCCACACTATCTCCATTTCTGTCTGTGCTGCTAAAAACTGCAGCATCCTGGGTTATGCACCTCTCAGCAGCACTCCCAGTCCTCGCCTCCAGGTCAGGGCATGTCTCTGACCTTTGTTCTTTAAAACTGCCAGCTGCCTCCAGTTCACACATGTGCCCCTGCAGCTCCGGGTTTCCGTCCCAGGGGCTGCCCTAAAGTCCTTTTCCACTGCTACCGGTCTGTGAGTCTGGGCCCTATCCCCAGCATGGGAAGCTTTTGTGAACTGGCGGTACAGGATCCCAAAGTCTCCCTCCCCCTTCCATTTATCTTCCAATATCTGCCCACAGAATCACGGCCCCCCACTTCATACCTCAAAACCAACCACCTGTGATATTCTGTTTATAGAGATCCAGATATATCTTCTTACATCTCAGGCTGCTTTTGTGGGTGTTCAGAGTGGTCTAGTAGATATCCAGCTCAATTCAGGGGACTGGTTGGAATAGGGTCCCCTACTCCTCTGCCATCTTTTCCTTCCCCCCCCCCCCGTTTAGTGCTATTTTCTGCCAAAGCATAATTGGCAACTATCAAGTTATTTGTATTACTGTATTTGACATAAGGACATAAGTATTTCCTTTTAGTTTTAGCACATATCATGGCTTTGAAATATATCAAGGTTTTCAGAAGTATTCCCAAATATTTTAAAAATTTCTAAGGGCAAGTTTTTGTTTTATATTATCAAATAAACCACTTTACTGTTCCTGGATTTGAATGTTGACTTGCAGAGATTTGAAGGTAGGGTGTAGCCAGGGTAGACAATAGTTCACCACTTTACCCTGTGGATTTTTGCATTTCCTTTGCTTTAACATTTATGAATACCTAACTCACTAGAATCTTTTCATTCCTTTCAGGTAAACATATTACCAGATATACAGCATCAGCTTTGCAGAAAAGAAGGATTATGTCAAATAATTAGAAGATTTCCAGGTAATCTTTAGTTTGCTTCCTTATGTATAAACATGTGAAATATGTAGGCTGCTTCAGCAGATACCGAATAATGAGATCTCAGATCCTTATTATTTAGTTCCTCAGTCTATCATTCCACTATCACAAATCTCCCAGAATCCATAAGGTTTTGCCCATAGGGAGACCCTGATAAAAAGGAATACAAGCATAACATTGATATTCTTTCTTTCAGTTTTGCCTTCTAACTTTCTGGGTGAATATTCCTTTCTTCTTTTGTATTTGTCTTGAAAATTATTGCTGTTTTATTTTAAAAGCAATTATTATAATTATTAAAATACTTCTTAACTATATAAAACAAGGTTTTAAAAAATGTATTTCTTCATGATTAAGTAATTCTGATTTTAACAAATTTGTTTCTGCTTTTTGAAATTCCCTCAATTTGCCTGTGTGTTTCAGACAGGATACTGAATGAGTAAATTCCATGTCTTGACAACATTAGAAATTTGGGGCAAAAATTACCATCTCATTTTTTCATTGATTCCCAAAGTGAAAAAAAAATCAGATGGTCTGTGAGTCTTCAGAGATCAAATTATAGCTTACTTAAAACCCATGAGTGAAAGTGTTCCTCAAATTTCTTGTTTAAAATCCATTAAATGTTAAACAGCTTATGGTCCGAGAAATTATTTCAGTATATAATTACAATTTAGATCTGCTGAGCTTCAATTCTATTTTTAAAAATTTAATTTGTGTCCTAGTGGGATCAGAAACCTCATGTCCCATAGGGTTTTCCATGGAGTTTCTGCTTCACACAAAACATATACCACATTGGTACATCCCATCGTAAAGACTACAGTCTTCTACTGTCATTTCTCAAGGATTAAAATAAAGTAAAAATGAATCAACAACTCAACTTTCAATTTAAGGTATTCATCTAAAATTAAAAAATAGCTGACTAAACTTGGCTTTATAGTTATTATTTTTCTATGGCAATTGTAACTGACTCCATAATCTCTAAGTTTTGTTTCATTTTGTTTCTGTAAACTTCCAGCTGGGTAGTTTTTTATTTTATAAAAAAAATATGTTTTTGTGAGATACAAGTAAAATAATTATTTCCATTAATATATTATTAGTAAGTATCTAGGGATCCTTTACTTTAGGCAATTTGAAGAAAAGAATTTGTTTCCATTTTGAACAGAGCCTGCATATTTTTAAAGTATGTTTTTCTTTGTTGCTACTTACATTTCAAAATGATTGATTCAGAACATTAAGTTTCTTTAGCTTTGGAGTTAGCAGAACATGTAGAATCATAGGATTAAAAGCTCATTTATATCCAGAAATGGGTTACCACTTTAAAAAATTCCCCAAGCAACTCTTACATAAGCTCATATTTTATATTTTGCTTATCTGCCATTAAGAAGCTTTTAACTGTCTTCTTTTGTTTTAAATATTATTTTTTCCTCAAGAACATCTATAGGTTCTAGACATAATGTAGTCCTTTCTCCACTCTGTCTAGTGTTTTAATTTTCTATTTAGCTCTGTGACTAACAGGATAATTTCATGGAATATATTGCCTTTTAAATAAATAATTTTATTTAAATTTAAAGTTATTAAAATAACTATCATGTTATTTGTCTCTAGCTAAAGATAATTTTCTTAGATGTATAGCTTTAGAGGACAGCATATAAGGCCACAGGATTATTTTCTGATTTAAGCTTTGTATACAATAGATTTTGTTGTAGACTGTTGCTACGAATATATACTATGTGGTATAAACTCAGTATTCACAAGATTAAAAACATTCTATTTGTTGTTAAATATTCCATTGAATATTTAATATTGACTACAGATTAGATAGCAGCATGTTAGTACCTAAATATATACTATTATTAAAGAGGTAAGATAATAAAACTAAGCAAACTACTTTATAATTGAACCATTTTATTTAAAGCCAAATGGAGGGCGCCTGGGTGGCTCAGTTGGTTAAGCGACTGCCTTCGGCTCAGGTCACGATCCTGGAGTCTTGGGATCGAGTCCCACATCGGGCTCCCTGCTCAGCGGGGAGTCTGCTTCTCCCTCTGACCCTCTCCCCTCTCATGCTCTCTCTCTCGCTCTCAAATAAATAAAATCTTTAAAAAAAAAAAAAAAAGCCAAATGGACTGTGCCATTTTAGGCTGTGTTTCATTTGGAGGTAGACAAGACACAAATTTTTGAAATCAGGAATTTTAGCTCTGCCACCTATTAGCTCTGTGATTCAGAAGTGGTTAGTTTTTGTTTGCTTTTTTAATCTATAAAGTAAGGCTAATGAAACCCATTTCATAAGTTAAATTTTAAAAACATAGTAGATCCTATATGTGTGTGTGTGTGTGTGTGTATAATTGGATTTGAAAAATAAAGCATATTCTATATTATACCTGGGGTGCCTGGGTGGCTCAGTCGTTAAGCGTCTGCCTTCAGCTCAGGTCATGATCCCAGGGTCCAGAGATTGAGCCCCAAATAGGGCTCCCTGCTCTTTGGGAAGCCCGCTTCTCCCTCTCCCACTCCCCCTGCTTGTGTTCCCTCCCTTGCTGTGTCTTTCTCTGTCAAATAAATAAATAAAATCTTAACAAAAATTAAAAATATATATATATTATACCTAACACATAGCGCTCCAACAATGTCATCCTAGATTCAAAACATCGAGCAACAGGACTCACAAAATTTAACATTTTTTCTCTTTATATGATTGATGATCACTATGATTTTATGTTTCTGGCAAAAACTGTGAAGGGTTTGAGATTTCACCCTATTTCCAAGCTCACAAGTCTGCCTGCCACTGTTTCCCGGGGCACAGGCAGAAGACATGAGACTCCTGGGTCAGAGACAAACAGCTCTATTATTTACAGCAATAGTGGTAGGCAGACTACCAGCATTTGCACTGGTTCACTGAATCCCAGTTCCCACAGGGTGATGCGAGGTGGGCTAGATGACACTTGTATACTTAGTGGTTTGCGTTTCAGTAGACGAGCTCTGAGCTTAGGGAGTTAGAATGTTTTATAATGGGCAGTGAGCATGCCTACCCTTTGCTCCGGAGAGAGACATTATTTTTGTTATACTGGACAAAACCTTCTCTTTGCTCCAGAGCAAGACACCATCTCTATTTTTCAAGGCTATCTGCTATATAAATATCTTTGAAAAGATAGTTCAGAACAAAGATTGTCAGTGGCTCTGTTTGCAAAATGTACAGAAATGTGAAAGATGCCTGGAGAAGTGTCTCCCAATAGTTTCAGAGAAGAATACCTGACAAGTTCTAGCTCTGAAGCTTAATCAATGTATAATTCTGAGCAAGATTTAAAGCCTAGTGGTGCTTCAGTTCCCTTGTCTATAAACATGCAAAGTTTGGCAAGGATTAATAATGTTGAGATTCCATGATTCCACTGTGCATTTTTTTCATGTGGACATGCTGTCCCAGGCTTTATCTTAAGCAGTGGGTGGAGACAGCAATACTAAGAGTGGAGGGTGGACCATACTGGAAAAGTGGTTGGGACCGTGCGTGTGTAGCAGGACAGAGTTTGGGCCAGAGGTAGAGGAGTGTTTGAAGACAGCATGTGAGATTAACACAGTCTGTTCCATTCCATTGCCAAGCTGAATGTACCTGCCATTAGACTTGTGACTCACTTTGAAAGGCACAAATCCATGGAATTTTTACTGGCTAGCACAGAGATTTATTTTTACCTTGCCATTTAATGCTTTGCCTTTTGAAAAAAAAAAAAGAGTTTCATAACTTTAGTTGACCCAAATTCTGGCTAATGGTTTTTGTTGCTTTTTAGTAACTTTGTTTTTTAGGTAAAAAAGATTTCTTTCCCATATTTGATATATAAATATAAAACAAGACATCAGAGAATGGTTTTACTTGGGTTGTGAGTAGTTTTTTTGTTCTTTTTTATGCAGTATCATCATCCAACAAGCCCTGGTTAGAAGTGTGCCAAATTTGGGGGCATTACTCATTCTTTCCAGTAGTTTTATCTTAGCTCTCAGCATTGGCTTTCACGTGAAGCTTGAAATGTACCCAGACTTGATGCATAGGTAGCATTTTGAACACTTTAGGATCTGTATCCTCATTTTTATAATAAAATGTGGATACATGAAGAAAAAGGAAAACAATAAAAAAATCTTTTGTTGTATCTAAAGAAGACTGGACTTTAAAAAATTATAGATGTTCCCTATCAAGCATAAAACATATGTTTAAAATAACATAATTGAAATTATTCTTAAGCATTGATCAATAAGAGTTATTTATTCACATGGCACTGATGATTGTTTTTAATATTTCAGGTCTGAAAATTCCTTTTTGTCATATGATGTCAGCGAAATATTGTCAAGGAATTGGGTAGCTTAGCTTGGATTTAAACAAAGCAATATGGGAAATTGCCAATGCCTAATACCATTGGAGAATTTTTGTGGTTTCATTTTTTTTTCATCCCCTCTGCTATATTCTCCTTCAAACAAGTCTACAAGCCATTGTTAAGGACTGGGGACTTGTCTCTACAAGGCGATCAGGCAAACTTTCAGAGAAGGCCAGCTTGCTTGTTCTTTGTCCTCTCAAATGCTGACATCCCCTCTCTGTGTCTCTTGTGTGTTCCTTCATGTTTCTGTCTTTCCAAAGGCTTCCACTTCCTGTCCCACCCATGATTATATCCTTTATGCAAAACATTCTTTCCCCAAATAAAACTCATCTCTTTAGTATGACTGACTTCAGCTAGGTGATAGCAGAAAATAAGCTGATGGAACTAATTCAGACTAAATTACACCCTCACGCCAGTCATAAGCCTCTTAGATGTATTTGCATTTTTATAAAAGAAGCTTTCAAACCCAATGAATTTCTAATTGGTAGAATTCTGGAAGTACATTCAAATTCTCATTCAGTTCATCGGCAAGCCGTCCACTTCCAAAGCTACTTGGATCCATCTACTTTATCTCTACCATGACCAGTCTAGTTCAAGCCAACATTCTCTCATACTCTTCCCCCTTCCTTTCTTGTCCGG